TCCGACGTTCTTACTCAGTAATTTCATTCCATTCGCTCTAATTTTCCTTTTGCTTTGTCCGATAATGCCTTCTTCGTCCAGATCTGCGACCAATTTTGGTCTCTCTAGCGGCAACACAGGTTCCTCTGACGAGTCTATGATGTCCGGAACCAACAAAGTGGTGGTTTATTCCCCTACTGCAGCGGCGGCTGCGCTATTGGCAGCAACCCCGATATCGATGGTTAGGCCCGTCGTGTCAGCTAAAGAGACGGCTTCTGGGCATGATGGAGAAGGATCCCCAAACTCCCCCTTGCGGGAGGTCGGCGACATCGACTTGAACCAGTCAATCGAGGTCGGTGAAGATGATGTGAGTGTTAACTTTCTCGAGGACTCTGAGGTCGACCTGGACTTGGTTGAAAAAACCATCCAGGGCGACACCCAGGGTCGGGACCGAGTCCCAATGGGTCGCGGTGATGAGTAGACTGGCACCCAGGTTGAGGGGGCTACCTCTGCTCCTCCTTGCTTCTGGCGTTGACCTGCCCGTGTTTGGGTGAATCCGAGCGATCTGACAGTGTGGGCCACACCCTCGATTCTCGAATATGTGGACCTCGCACAATTGAGGAAGAAGGTCGCCTTTGGGCCCGTTGTTCGGAGAGAGAGCCCATTTTGATCATCTTTTTCCTCACTTTTCATACAAGAAATTCAACTCATAATTGACGGTTGATCGTCTGATTTTTGACACCAACAAAAATAAAAAAAAAATAATTATTCATAGGTCAATATTAACTTGGACTTAAACAAAATAGTCAATTGTTTATAGTTCAATAAATTACTCAATAACTTACGGGTTAATATTAACTTGAACATAAATGAAATAATCAATTATTTATAGTTTAATAAATTAGTCAACTACTTAATTTTTTTATTTGAATAGTTTATACAAAGATAAATTATTTTAAGTAATGAAACAATATAATTTTATATTTGTACTTATTATTCACATAGGTCGTTAAATATATGATAAAATTTCACAAAAATAACTTTTTATGAAATCACATTATAGTCAAATCTAATTTCTGAATAAAAAAAAAGTTTTAAATGACATTTATTTTGAAACGAATATATTGTAACCTATTATCAGTTATGCGCACTGCACGAGTTGTTTACTAATTTTAAAAAGACATTTTTATATAATTTTGCACAATTTAAACTTTATATAAAATTTCAATAAATTAATATAGGCAAATTGTATTACATACTGATTCTATATTTTAAATTTATAAATATTATTTAATAAATATTTTTAATTTATAAATATTAATTAATATCTTTTAGCCGTGCACTGCACGAGACTCATACTAGTATTATCTTAAATAATTTAACAATATTTTTATTATAAAATACTAATTTATAGTATATCCCGTGCATCGAACATGTATCAATGCTAGTATATATAAAGGGACAACTTTTTTACCAAAAATGGTAACAAGAAAAAAGTCAACAAGTACCATTTAAAGCATTCTATTTTCAGCAGTTTTTCAAATTTCTTTTTAATTTTTTGCCCAAAAGATAGGACAATCATTAAATGCACTCGAAATTTTGTCAGCTTTCAAATTTCTTTTTTAATTTCATTCTCATTATTATTCAAAAAAATTTGAATGCATACAAAATCATTTAACATTTCGAATTTCAATTTTATATATTAAAATTACTTCTCATTTGATCACTACAAAATCTAACTATATTTATTTATGAAATCTAATTTTTTTCGTAATTACAACATATTTAGAATTATATATCAAATATGATTTTTCAAATATCAAATTTTATATTTAAAATCTCAAATGTCAACTATTTAAAAATTGATACTATAAAATCTGATTTCGAAAAGTCAAAATCCATTATCCATTTTTATTAGAAGAATACTGATTGTATAGAAAATTAGACCCAAAGATTGCATAGAAAATCGGACAGAATGAAAAATTGCATAAAATTTGTGTATGATTTGAATTCTGAAAATTCAAATTTTGAAATATATGTTTTTCGAAACATAGAATATTATTTTTGTGCAATGGGACACGGTTGGTTGTGACTAAATTCTCCGCTCATGTGCTCGAATGCAAGATATTGGCTGGTTATCATGCTGGCGAAAAAATGTTGATTCCTAAAATAAATATTACTCCTTTTGATCTTAGGGTTCCATTTAAGTTATAGACTTCCAGCGGCAACAGTTCTCACTTATGGTTTCGTACGACATGACCATAAACAAGAGCCAGAGGCAGTCTTTATCGTATGTTGGTCTTTTTTTGAAAGAAATCTGTCTTTAGTCATAACCAATTAAATGTTGTAATGTTTCGCGTGTAATTAATAGAATGAGTTGAAGATATTAGTTTATGAGAATGACGAGTTGCCCAATGAAAAAATTCATAATACAGTGTACAAGAAATCTTTAATAATATATAATTTTTGTTTTGTCGAAACATTATGTTATTTCACAATTAGCCTACATAATATAACTATTTCATTTGTTTATACGTTTTAATACATAATATTTCTTAATTAAATACAACCCGTGCATACGGGTCACGCACTAGTTCATGGAAATGGAAGCAAAAACAAAAATGTATAATTTTTGGCTTAGGGACACGTTTTCACTATACTAATATTTGATCTCGCACCATAAACCTGCATGAAATTTAACTAAGATAATTAATATAATATTTCAGCATTGTTGCGTGACATCTGGTCTTTTTATTTTCAATTATTTGACTCCACAGAAGTACTTTTTAAGAAAACACGTTCTTGGGGGAGCAGAGTGATTTTTAAAAATAAATAATTCACGTTTACTTTTTAACACGCTAAATATTAAACAAAATATCATTAGAGATTAAGTGAGTGTAGACCTGTAAACGAGCCAATTAAACCGAACTTTAGCTTAGGGTGCTCGAGCTCGAACCCTTATCGAGCCGAGCTAAATCGTCAGAAATCGAGCTCGAGCTCGCCTCGCTTATTACTATTAACGAATTGAGTTCAAGCCTTAACGAGCCGATCTCGAACTTTAAAGGGTCGAACTGTATAAAGCTACATAAAAATTCTCTCTTCGAACCTTATCGAGCCGTACCGAGATCGACTCGTCAACCAAACGAGCTCGCTCAGCTCGAATGATGGTGGGGGTAATGAACTATAATGATAATCACATCCATGCATGTGACATGGTTTGTGGTGGAAATTTTGAAGTTCCCCAAACCTTCCTCGAAATGGATAGTTACGTAAATGGAGGTGCAATTACCTTTTCACATATTGCTTTTTTTTTCCCCAAAACAAAGGCAATTAGTACCTAAAAAAGCTTTAGCCTCAGAACCAATGAATGTACCATAAGAAATATATAGTATGTGTCACGTTGAAAAATAAATGTGGGCTTTAGATTCAGTGCCGGCCACCACATTCAATGCTCACTCAACTCTCGTACGCTGCATTCACTTAACTACCCAAAGAGCAAACGTGTATATATGGCATTGTCAATCCTAATCCCCTCACGCGGGCACGGATTCAAAAAATAAATTAGCTTAATAAGTTATGGGAGGCAATTTGTAAATTTTGCATAGAGCCGTAAACGAGTCGAGCTCGAGCCCTTTGTGCGGCAAGATCGGGTTTGAGTAGAGCAGAACCCGACTTATTGAATTAACAAGCCAATAAACGAACTCGAGTTTAGCTCGTTAATCAGCCTCCATCAACGACCTGAATTATGTTAGAGTTTAGAAAATTATGTAAAGATTCTCAACTTTTAATGGAACAAGTTGAGCTGAATTGAACTCACGTACGAACGACTTATTTTCATTAACTAAACAAACTTTAAATAATTATGAGTTCGAACTCAACTTATTTATCAAACGTGTCGAGTTGAGTGAAACACAAAAGAGTAGTTTAGTTTTACAAAATGGATATACTCACTATATATAATATAAATATACGTACAAGCAAAAAAGATTTTGAGGGACCATATATACACGTGTGTAATACTGATCGGGCTCACACAGGTGGTCCATGGGTCGTTTCACGTGTGATTCGGGTTGTGGCCCAACTCGCTGTCTGTTGGGCCAACTCGATGAGTTCAATATGCTGACACGTCCGAGTGAATTGACTTTCCTTATGTTTTCACATTCTAATTCAACCGATCACTTTATTCAATTTAGCCAAGTGCACACACAGTTTCCTCACGTGAATTATAATGTGCCTTGAGTCAACTCCCGGAGTTTCATTTTACTTGTTTCCTTGTGACTCATTTTTTTTTTTTTGTTTTTTCCTAACCTATAATTCCCCACCAATAGAGGTGTTATTCGAGTCGAGCAGAGTATTTTATGATCGAGGTTATACAGATTCGATAAACAAGTTGGCTCGACTGAGCTTGACTTGTTGCATTTGAGAAAGCCCGACTCCACTAGTTTAATAAGCATAAATATATAAAAGAATTGTTTGTGATTTGTTCACGAACAAATTCTTCTGGACCATTTCACTTATAATTAAAGATATCACTTATTCGCGAACAAGCTCGATACTTGTTTACCAAACAAGCTCGATTTGTTGTTCGGACTTGACTCATTTAATTAAAAGCACGACTCGAGCTCGAACATTTACGAGTTGAATCGATATGTATCGGCCTCTAAACACCAACTAAAATTGAAATTTTGCCTTTTCATTTTAACTTCTGTTTTAATTAGAATTTTAAATATTTGGGCGGAGGGTGTACATACATGGGTGATGTGAAACTTCATGTGAAGTTTCATATGGCACAAAGCACGGCTGTCTCATGTATTCAACTCAGAAAGTTCCCTTTAAGGCACCAAAACAACCAACAAAGCTAGCTATTTATATATACTCTTCCAAACTCACTTCATTTCCTTCAATTCATCTATCAACCATTTCACTACAATTGTTACTACACAAAACACATCTAGCACCTCTCCAAACTAGCATTCAGTTCTTTTATAACTATTTTTGAATTTTAACAATATATGGCAAACATGGTAGCAATTAGCCAAGATAATCAACTGTTGTCCAAGATTGCGACGAGCAACGGGCACGGCGAAAACTCGGCTTATTTCGATGGTTGGAAGGCTTATGACAGTGATCCTTATCATCCCACAAAAAATCCCAATGGAGTTATTCAGATGGGATTAGCAGAAAACCAGGTAACTTGTAATAATAACTATTCAAAAAAATAAAAATAAAAATAATTTAATCATCATTTATTTTTCATTTAATATTAAATAGTAAGTTAATTTAATTTTATTTCCCTTTTTGCAGCTTTCTTTTGATTTGGTCCAAGAATGGATTTTGAATAATCCAGAGGCCTCAATATGCACATCTGAAGGAGTTCATGATTTCAGGGACATAGCTCTTTATCAAGATTATCATGGCTTGCCACAATTCAGAAATGTAAATACAAAAATCCATAAATTACACCAAAGTTTTGTATATATGATCTTTGTCAATTGAGTCCAAATTCTTATAATTTTCGAAAAACACGAAAAATTTTGCAGGCTGTTGCAAGGTTCATGGAGAGAGTGAGAGGAAACAGAGTCCGGTTCGACGCGAACCGTATAGTGATGAGTGGCGGGGCAACCGGAGCTCAAGAGACATTAACGTTTTGCTTAGCTGACCCTGGTGATGCATTCTTGGTGCCCACACCTTATTATCCTGGGTAAGTTCATAGCATATAATTATTATTGCTGTTCTGCAGTAATTTATTATTGGTTCTGTTTTTGGTTTGTGATTGCTTTTAAATTAATTATATTAAATTATAAAATTAGAATAATAGTATATGTATCAAGAGTTGATGTCTACAGGCCATATTGCTAACTACTACTACTACTCTATTATGGAATGTAAATGTACAAAATTCATCAGAATTGTTCGATTGGGCTCGAAAACATACTTTAAAATGTCTCAAAATTATATTTTTAACATTCTAATTAACTCCCATCATGCAGAAACGATCGCGACCTAACATGGCGGACGGGAGTAAAACTCATCCCGGTCGTTTGCGAGAGCTCCAACAATTTTAAAATCACCCGCGAAGCCCTCGAGTCCGCATACGAAAACGCGCGAAAGTCAAACATCAAAGTCAAAGGCCTTCTCCTAAACAACCCGTCGAACCCCTTAGGCACGGTTCTCGACCGAGAAATCCTACGAGACTCCCTAAATTTCACCAACCAAAAGAACATCCACTTAATATGCGACGAGATCTACTCTGCCACCGTTTTTGACCGTCCCGATTTCATCGGGATCTCTGAAATAATCCAAGAGAATCCTAATTATTACAACCTCAACTTGGTCCACATCGTGTATAGCTTGTCGAAAGATCTCGGGTTCCCCGGTTTTCGTGTCGGCATAATCTACTCGTACAACGACGCAGTCGTGAACTGCGCTCGGAAAATGTCGAGCTTCGGCCTCGTCTCCACACAAACGCAACACCTAATAGCTTCGATGCTATCGGACGAGGCTTTTGTTGACCGGTTTTTGACCGAGAGCTCGACAAGGCTCGGGGAAAGGCACGCGGTTATCTCTCGAGGGTTGGGTCGAGTGGGTATCGGGAGCTTAAAGAGCAATGCCGGGCTTTACTTGTGGATGGATTTGAGGAGGCTACTAAAGGAGGCCACTTTCGAGGCGGAGCTCGAGCTTTGGAGAGTGATCGTTAACGAGGTTCGGCTAAACGTGTCGCCGGGTGCGTCATTCCATTGCTCGGAGCCCGGGTGGTTTAGGGTTTGCTTCGCCAACATGGACGACGAGACGTTGGAGGTGGCGCTGACGAGGATCGTTAAGTTCGTGGCAGGGAAGAGAAGTGCGCCCGAGTCGGGAGGTCGGAAGCAGAGTTGCCGGAGGAGGAAGCTCGAGATTAGCCTATCGTTTAGGCGGCTTGACGATGTATCGGCTCACTCGCCCATGTCATCGCCGCTCGTGCAAGCTAGGACGTGAAATATATCCGATGTGGACATCATCGTCACATATGTTTTATGTATGTCGATCGTTTCATGCATATGGTGTTTTAACATTTGTGTATTGAATAATCAAATGAAAACAATGGTTATGAGCAATATTTAGAGGGGCAAATATTGGTTAATTAGTTCGAGTGGATTTGCTCGTTTGTTGCGGTAAAATTTGTATGATGATATTTTTGTGTACATTACTGGAAAGAGCAATAGTATTGAAAAAATAGATTAAAATTCAAAACTAGTAAATTAATGGGCTGTTGGACCTATGTAAAGATATATATAGCCTACGGCCTACTTTGAACATGGTAGTGATGTGCAGCAAGGATAATACCCATCCTACTTTGAACAAATAAAAGCAACCACCTACAGTAGGCCGGCCGGCCGGCGGACGTTGTACATCATTTTTCCGGCCTATTGCGTTGGTAATAAAAGCAAAGACCTACAGTAGGCCGGCCGCCGGCGGCCGTTGTACATCATTTTTTGTACATTAATAGTTGTACAGCATTTTTTCCTTCTTGCTTTGGTAAAATAGGTAAGGCAGTTGCTGATTAATTATAAGTGTCATATTTATTAACCTACCAAAAAAATACATCACTACACTACTGCCCAAAAATGAAGCATATAAATTAACACATAGAATCTCAAACAGTCACACATACACACACACACACACACTCCATATTTCGACGCCGGAAAACAAATTCAATTAAGTACCCAATGAAGCCACCAGATCATAATAAGCTAATGTTTTTCGTTTTGTTCAGCCTATTATCATTATTTCTTGATTTTGCTGCCAGGCCCTTGAAGATCAATTCAACTAATGAAACCGATCGAGAGACAGGTACTCCATATATTTACATATTTCTTGTACGTCCTCAAATTCTCTTCAAAATATTTTTTCGAGACACCTAACTGTTAGTCAGGCCAACTAGGAACTTTTTTATTTTTTTTTCGAAATTGTAATTGTGTTATGTGGTAATTATTGATAATTGATTTGATTTATCTATTCTTATGTTTTTTTCTTAAACAGTTGTACATTGTTTGCATGGGGGAATTGCCGGAAAACACGATATACGTGGTGGAGCAGCACCACAGCCTTCTATCAAATATCGTCAGAGAGTAATAAATATTACATCTCTATTTTTTTTTTAAAAAAGAAAATATATAGTTTTTATTAATTAAAAACATTTGTTCACTTTAATTACAGAAAAATTTAGTCTCCTAACTATGATCTCTAAAAATTTAGTCTCCAAAAAACAAAAATTAGTGTAATTAAAGTACGCGCACCATGAATTTATATTTTTTCAAGACCAAAAAACAAAAAAACAAAAAAAAAACAATGTTACATGAGGGCAATGGATTGTTTTATTTGGACCCAAAATAGCATAACATATAACTTACAAGTTACATGGCTAAAATAAATATAATATGTAAAAGTTGCAAACTTGAAAAATTGATTTGATTTATTAATTTATACCTCTTTATTGCTTGAACTTTTTCAGCGAAACAATAACTCTATTAGATACAGGTATATTGAAATTAAATTTTTAAAAAAAAAATAAAATCACTCTTATATATGCAAGAGTATATGTGAATTAAATAGTCCTAAATTTTTCTTTATATTTAATTATTCAAAAATATGGGCAGATAACCCAAGCTTCAATATTGACGAGGGATTTGGACCTCCACCTAAGAGATGGAATGGTAAATGGAAGGGATTTGCACCTCCACCTAAATAGTTAAAATCTATACTTAGATAAAGAGCTATTCTATTTACTAAAATTAGTATAAAAAAAATAGGTCAGCATTTAATGCAACCCATAAATAGTAGTTTTATTATTTTTTTTAAAAAAAAAATCATACAATTTAATTTATAAATACGTTCTAATATAATCGTACTATTTAATTTATAAAAATCATACCATTCAATTTTTTTTCTTTAACAATACGCTTTAATATACATACATATATATATAGTACTTTTTGTAATAAATTTGAATAAAATTTGTTATTTAAATATTTAAACAATTTAGAAATTCAAATATTGAAATTAATTGATAAACAATTTATAAAGTTCTATTTTATTTAAAAATGTAATTTTATTTAAAATAATTTTAAATATAGCCAAATTTATTTAGAACATCGTATTAATCCTGCAAGTTCAACCGACTGGTGTTGACAGATTTAATAGCAAATATTTTATTCAAGTGAACTAGACTGATTATAAATTGGTTCTCGGTCTATATGGTCGGACTGTGTCCAACACTATTTAATTTAAAAATGATGTGTAAATCTTGATTAGTTTATTTGTATATTTAATATATAACACAATCTTAATATTGTTTTCCCGTGCATCGCACGGGCCACGCACTGATATAAAAAAAAAAAAAATTAGGACTATTTAATTTACATACACTCTTGCTTATATAAAGGTGATTTTCATTTTATTTAAATTTAATTTCAATTTACCTGTAAGCTATTGTTTCGCTGAAAAAGTTCAAGCAATAAAGAGGTATAAATTAATATATCAAATCAATTTTCAATTTTGCAACTTTTACATATTATATTTATTTTAGCCGTGTAACTTGTAAGTTATATGTCATGCTATTTTGGGTCACAGTTAGGAGACTAATTTTTGATTTTATAGTTAGGAGACTATTTTTTCTTTTTTGAAATTAGAGTGAACAATTGTAATTAATTAATAAAAATTATATTATTTTTTTTTAAAAAAAAATAGAGATGTAAACAATATTGTACAACTGTGTAAGAAAAGAGCATAAGAATAAATAAATCAATCAATTATCAATTACCACAAAACACAATTACATTCTTTTTCAGCCATTTGTATAGTGGTGTAATGTCCAAATTACTCTTAATGAAGGTATATATAAATATATTTTTTACTTTATTTTAGTCATTTGATCATTCAATCTAATGTTTTACAATTTATTCTTAATTCTTTATTCTCACTAGAACATGATCCTATAAGATAAGAAACTTATAGCAAATACTGATATATCATCATATATAGAAAGTGATATATGCTTCCTTCTTTATCTATTCGTTTTAAGTAGGAAAAATATATTTCTTTCTAATTAATATATTAAGATAAGGAAACTTGAATCAAATAATGATATATCATCATATATATACAAAGAGAGACATAATGCTTCCTTGTTTATCTATTGCTTTCTAAGTAGGAAATAATCATATATAATTATCATCGTTATTACCAGTTTGATTGTGATTGTTTATTCACTTAGTTTTCGGTCTAACTTTTTGATTAAGTAATGGCGGCAAAAGGTGAAGGGCCTGCAATCGGGATTGATTTGGGGACCACCTACTCATGCGTGGGCGTGTGGCAGCACGAGCGCGTCGAGATCATAGCCAACGATCAAGGAAATCGCACGACGCCATCCTGTGTCGCTTTCGCCGACGGCGAGTGTTTCATTGGCGAAGCCGCCTTGAACCAGGCCGCCGTCAATCCCGTCAACACCGTCTTTGGTGAGCTGCTTAATTACTGCTTAATTATCGTGTTAGTAAGTTGGTATGTATATGTGGGGTGTTGAAGATGTTGATATTAATTAAGAATAAACCTGCTCGGTTGCCGTGTTACTATACTCGTAAGTACCATTAACCGTGTTACTATGCTCGCAGATGCCAAGCGGCTGATGGGGAGAGGATACAGCGACGCGTGTGTGCAGGAAGACATAAAGCTGTGGCCGTTCAAAGTTGTCCCGAGCCCCACGGACAAGCCCATGATTGTGGTCTCTCACAAGGGCGAGGAAAAGCTCTTCCCCCCTGAAGAGATATCGTCCATTGTCCTTACGAAGATGGCCGCCATTGCCGACTCCTACTTGGGCCCCCCCACCTCTGTTCGGGATGCCGTCATCACTGTCCCTGCCTACTTTAGCAACGCGCAGAGACAGGCCACCATGGATGCTGGTGCCATTGCCGGCCTCAATGTCATCCGCATCATCAACGAGCCCACTGCCGCCGCCATTGCCTATGGCCTTAACCTCAACCTCCAGAAGAAGAACGTGTTGGTCTTCGACTTAGGCGGTGGCACCTGCGACGTCTCGCTCCTCACGATTAGTAAGGGTACCATCGAGGTGAGGGCCACTGCCGGCAACACCCACCTCGGCGGGGAGGATTTCGACAACCGCATTATCTCTCACCTTGCCGCCGAGTTCAAGCGCAAGTACCGCAAGGACCTCTCCCAAAACCCCCGAGCCCTACGCAGGCTGAGGACCGCCGCCGAGAGGGCCAAGAGGATTCTCTCCACCAACACTCAGACCGCTGTGGACATTGAGTGTCTGCACGAGGGCATTGATTTCCACTCTATCATTACTCGTGCTAAATTCGAGGATCTCAACACGGACCTGTTTGAAAAGTGCGTCGAGCCAGTTGAGGCCTGCCTGAGAGACGCCGGGATGGACAAGAATTCCATACATGATGTCGTTCTCGTTGGAGGCTCGACCAGGATCCCCAAAGTTCAGAAGATGCTGCAGTATATTTTCGAGGGAAAGGAGATGTGCAGGAACATTAACCCGGATGAGGCCGTTGCGTGCGGGGCCGCCGTGCAGGCGGCCGTCCTAAGTGGCCGCATAGGGGGCAACAACAAGGTGCGGGACCTTGTCCTCCTTGATGTGACCCCTCTCTCACTAGGAGTGGATACTGTCGGGGATGTCATGTGTGTTGTGGTCCCACGAAACACGAGTATCCCCACCCAGAAGGATCATGAATTCACCACAAATTTCGATAACCAGAAAAATGTGAGGTTCAAGGTCTACGAGGGCGAGCGGGCGAGGGCAACAGACAACAACCTACTCGGGCAGTTCAAGGTGGAGGGGATCCCAGCTGCTCAGCGGCGTGTGCCCAAGCTGGAAGTGTGTTTCAAAATTGACGCCAACGGGATACTTAGTGTGTCGGGCAAAGAGAGGTCGTCGGGCAGAACCTACGGGATTACTATAACAAACAAACAAGGGAGGTTGTCGAAAGAGGAGATTAATAGGATAGTGTTGGATGCCGAGAGGTACAGGACGGAGGACGAAGAGTTTAAGAGGAGGATCAAAGCCAGGAAAAACATCGAGAATATTGCTTATGACATAAGGAACATGGTCAGGGCCTCCTCGGACAGAAGGCGGATGATTGAGGATGC